GATCCACAAAATGAGTAATTTAATTGTTCTTAATTGTCAACTATTTTACTGAGTCCAAAATCAGCCAATTTGGGACACCCATCTTAATCAATCAATATGTTCTCTGGTTTTAAATCTCTATAGATAATGTTCTGGGAATGCAAATATTGCAATCCATCCAAAATTTGAATGAATAACCACTTAGCCTATTCTTCACTGAATCGTTTCTATTTCCTAAGATGATAATAGAGTTCTCCACCTGGACAATAATCAAATACAAAATACAATTTAGATTTCTTTTGATAATTAAATATGAATTACTGACTAGAATGCACAATATAAATTGATTATTCTTCTATGATTCAATCTTGTTAAGATTTATCTTTCGTTGAATACCATTTCTTCTTTGTCTCTTTCAATCATTAAACGTTTGTCAATAACCTTCATAGCATAAAATTATCCATTCTCCTTATTCTTTACTAGATAAACTACTGAGAAACCCCCAGCTGCTAATTTCTTGATAATTTCAAACCAATCAAGATTAATTGGCTCTTTTAATTGTTAACGAATTTAGGGTATAAGAAGAACTCCATTCAAATTAGGCAAATTGTAATGCAAACAACTCAAGTGATAATCCAAATGAATATTGTTTGTCTTAAATCCAACAATGTCTGCTGGATCATAATTTAATCTTAATTAACTTAATTTCCTAATCACTTCAGAAAGTAACCATCCACAAGTTACGTAGGTATCTCTCAATTAAATACCAATCCATCTATCATCAATGGTTTGTATTCTTACAATGTTAAATACATTTTTAGTTATAACAGTTCTTAATAGTTCAATTTAGTGCAATGAACTTGCAGTGTTTTCACTTAAATCATCTTCAATTTATGTTTTGTGAATGGATCTGAACTTTGGTTTAAATTATCGTACGACTTCACTCATTTCCTCTTCCATAGGTATATCTGTATCAAACATAAATTAAATAAATGTAAATATAAGATGGAAACAATCTGTTGCTTAACCTTTCCAATGGTCCAATTGACAATAGTAAAAGGTCCTGCACAAATGTATTTTGCACCGTCCTCTATTCTGCCATATTGTTGAGTATCTTGGGAATTGGATTGTACATGAATCAAAGCGGAAATTTATTATTGATAGACAGAGGATATGACCCTGATCGTAATTAGAAACAAATATGATAAAGATAGACCATGTGGAATAGACACATTGAGAGATTATCCATTCATCTATTTCACTACTCTCAATAGCGATTTCTTATGGAAGACTGTCTGCGTTTAAGAATGTCCAAGTGTAACAGTTCCAAAATACAAACACTTGTAATACAATCCTCCAACTACCGCAGCTGTTCCCACCACCACTACTACACCCATTGGAACTACTCCAAAATTCATAACTAAAATGTGCTGTCAATTCAATAGTAACTTCCTGTAGTTAAGCCACATTATACAACAGCATTAAATGTAATATTAAATATATATGTATTTAGTTGATTAAAGAGTCTGTATTCCCACAGATCCAGAGTAATTTAAGATAGTTTAGGAAGCATTGAAGATGGGTTTCTTACATCAAATGATTTCTGATATCAGTGGAGCCAAGTACACCTTATTCATATTCATTGTATTGGGAATCTGCTTCACCTTAGCATTCACCTACCTATTGAAGTGGTGTAGTAAAACTGTTATTTGGTTCATCATCTTTATAATCGTTGTGTTGTCCATCTTCTTTGGCTATTATAGTTATTTATAATATAAGGCAGCGTAATAACTATATCTATCCAAATAGATCAAGCATGACCATTGGTTTATCACCTACTGGATATCTATTATAAGCTATTATTTGGTGGTGTTTTGGATTGGGTACAATAATCTTGACAATTTGTTTCTACAAAAGAATCAATCTAGCCATAGCCATCATCAAGTCAGCCTCTGATTTTGTCACTAAAAATGTCAGTATTGTCATTGTTCCTGTATTCTCAACTATTGCCACTCTAATTTTAACTGTTATTTTTATCTACATTGCATTGTAATTATACTACTAAAATTAGTATAATATGTTCAACTGGTACACCTGGAGATAAGTAATAGCAATGGCCATTTGGATAATTGAAATATACATTGTTTGAATATTTTAGTGGATTCTATTTGCTGTTTGCCACTTTTTGGACATATGCATTAATTATTGGAGTCAATAGCTTTATCATAGCAGGTTCAGTATGTGTATGGTATTGGTAACAAGGGAAGAGTGGTTAGGAACATGTTTAACCACTCAATTCATCATGGAAAAGATGTTTTGTCTATCATTTTGGTTCAATAGTACTTGGAGCATTATTATTGGGATTGATCTCAATATTTAGATCCTTCTTTGAATATCTATATGTATTTCATACTCATATAATTAAAATAGAGAAATGCTGAATACATGAGAACAACTGATGGCTGTCAATTTTGTTTTAAGTGTTGTGCATGTTGCATATGGTGTTTCGAAAGGTTCTTACAATATTTGAATCAGAATATCTATGTCTAAATTAACATGACTGGAGATGGCTTCTTTCATGCTGCCAAAAAAGGCCTAGATATTATGTCTAATAATCCTTCAATTGTTATGTAAGTTGCTGGGTTGGGAGATTTAATAAACAATATCGCAAGAATCATGATTACATTATCAATCTCTATGTTCTTTTTTAGATCCATTT